TTCCTTGTCCACCATTTCAGGAAGCGAAACCGAGGACGGGGAAACCGAGGGGAGTGACGAATTAGAAGGCTAGCCATTCAATTGGGGTATAAGTTTTAGATTTTATCATCCTTTTGTAAGGTTGATTTTATTTATGAGATTTTGTGATTTGGATAAGTTTCGAGCCTTGTGCATTCGTGGGACCCGTTCACGGGTGCACGGCGTTTGCCACGTCCTCGGATTTGGGTTCTGGGGCGTGACATATCCCATTGGTAGGATTTCAGTAATGAACCGGTCCTATTGGTAAACATGTCGACATGTGCTAGTGTTTATAAACCTCCCACTAGCGGACACAGTAAAACATGACCATATTGGAGACAAAACCATGCAAGATTTAGAGGAAAAATCCGTAATTCACAATCAATCTCAAAATTTAGAATAAACCGAAAAAATTCCATGTGGGCATGGATTAACAAGAAAATCATAATTTATAAAAATTTCCAGAAGAAAGAGAAAGAGTAAGATTTAGATCCCCGAATTCAAAGTAGTGAAATGATCATCAGGGCAGTTCAGTAAACTCTAAGTAGGCATGCTCTTACTTAATGAAAATGAAAATAATTCCATTTCAAATCAATCATGCTCGGTGCTAATAAAATCAATTTAAACCTTGTCACCATCTTAAAAACAATTTAAAATATGCTTTTACTTTGAAATCAAAGGACATTACCATAATTTACTTACCTCAGTCACATAACACAGAAAATTCACTCCAAGTGCTAGGGTGACAGAACATTCAAGAACCTAACCAAAATATTCCAGCATTAATAACCATATGACCAGACATCTCAATTTCATTCTCAATATAAACTACACATTTAAATCCTCCTATTGTTGGCTATTAGTGCGTAAACAGAAATCTGTGAACAGTACCCATGAATAGTAATTATGCAGTAAACAGTAATGGCAACGTCCAGAAATTGGCAAAACAATAGCTAATTTCACGGGATTTTTCTCCAGAACCTCATAGCAGCTAATTAACACTCAATCACATAAATTCTACTTGAATCAATGCTTAGATTTTGTTCTAATTCTACTAGAATTCATCCCCCTAATTCAACAAAAATCCGGACAGCACAGGGGCAGCAATTCATGGATAATTTCAACAACTAATGGGTAATTTGGACTTAAATGGAGCTATGACATACCAGAATTTAGCAAGCAAAATCGAAGCTGCATATTAGGGGAGGCCGACGGGAATGAAGGAGAATTTCAGGGGATCTACCAAAAATTGGAGAAACCAAAAGAAATTAGAGTAAACCCAAGCCAATTCAAGAAAGAAAAGACGAATTAATGGTTGTTTCCCCTTACCAGAAACCAAAAAAATCACGAGCCCACAATGAAGAGCAGTAGACGGAAGGAATAGAGCAAAGCAGATCCGGAAATTTCTACAAAGGGGAAAGATTTCAAGGCTCCAAATCTTGTTCTTGAATAATAAAAGAAGGGAAAAACACAAGCCTTTTACTGTTTCTTAGAGGGTGGGTGTGTCGGTGGCTAAGGCTCTTGTTCGGTGCAGGGGAAAAGAAAAAGAGCAGAACACGTGGGCTGAAGAAGAAGAAAGAAGGAAAAAAAATCCGCCATCCTTATCCTAATTTCTTTCCTCTTTTAAGTCCTTCACAATTTGAAAATTTTGTGATTAGGCTCAACAATATTATTTTCTCAAAATTAGGTCCCTGGCTCACACTTAATTGTTCTATAAATTTTTGGGATATTACATCCACCCCTCCTAAAAAGGAGTTTAGTCCTCAAAACTCGTACCTCAATCTTGGAAGAGGTGTGGATGTTCCTGCCTCATCTTGGATTCCAGCTCCCAAGTAGCTTCTTCAACCGAATGGTTATCTCAGAGGACCTTAACAAAACGAATGGTCCTTCTCCGCATTACCCTCCCTTTGAAATTTAAAATACAAATCGAGTAATCATCATAAGTGAAATCTTCTTGAAGCTGAATGGGTTCGAGATCAATGATGTGGCTCGGGTCGGGAATATACTTTCGAAGTAAAGACACATGGAACACATCATGAACACCCGCTAAATTTCTAGGCAACTCCAATCGGTAAGCTACTTCGCTAACCCTTTCTAGGATAGGATATGGTCCAATATACCTCAGACTCAATTTTCCTCGGATGCCAAACCTGAGGACACCTCAAGTGGGTGACACCTTCAAAAATACATTATCACCAACTTCAAACTCAAGGTCTCGTCTCCTTCTATTCGCATAGCTTTTTTGCCTGCTCTGTACAGCACGAAGGCATTCCTTGATCAATTACACAATCTCAGAAGACTGTTGCACCAATTCTGGGCCCAAAATGCTTCTCTCACCTACTTTTGCCCAACAAACAGGTGATCTACACCCTTGACCATACAAAGCCTCAAACGGTGCATGCAGATACTGGATTGGTAACAATTATTATAGGCAAATTCAGCCATGAATAAGTGCTAATCCCATGAACCTTTCCAATCTAGAATGCAAGCCCTCAACATGTCCTCAAGTATCTAAATAGTTATCTCAGATTGCCCATCAGTTTGAGGATGGAAAGCCGTGCTGAAATTTAATTGAGTACCAAGTGCCTGTTGCAAGCTTGTCTAGAAATGAGATAAGAATCTTGTATCTCTATTTGATACAATAGACACAGGGACTCCATGCAACCTGACTATCTCATTCATGTACATATTAGCAAGCTTTTCAATAAATGCACCAGTTCGGTAAGGTAAGAAATGTGCTGACTTGGTCAATCGATCAACGATAACCCATATGGAATCATTTCCCTTTAAGGTTTGTAGTAAACCCATCACAAAGTCCATGGTGATATTCTCCCACTTCCATTGGGGAATAGGTAACGGCTGCGGTTTCCCAAGAAGTCTTTGGTGTTCAGCCTTGACTTTCTGGCAAGTTAGGCATTGTGAGACAAATCTAGCTATCTCCCTCTTCGTATTTCACCACCAAAATGTACTACGCAAGTCACGATATATCTTGGTGCTACCTGGGTGAACTGTGTAACTAGTATTATGGGTATTTCCTATAATCTCACACCTTAAAGCATGATCTCTTGGTACACACAGCCTGTCACCAAACCACAGAGTCTCATTGTCGGAAACTCTGAATTCTTACATGTGGAGTTCCCCCGTCTTTACTTTTTCCTTCAACCTTTGCAAGAAAGGATCTTTTTGTTGGGCATCCTTAATTCTATCAATTAATGCCGGTTGTGCACTAAGAGTAGCTAGATAAGCTATAGTATTGTCCACTCTTAACTCCACATCCAGTTTCACAAGATCCTTAAGTAACTCCTTTTGGGTGGCAAGGATGCTAAAGGCAGTGCTAGAGGACTTGCTACTCAATGCATCTGCTACTTTGTTGGCTTTGCCTGGATGGTAGCTAATGGTCAAGTCATAATCTTTCAAAAGTTCAAGCCATCGCCTTTGCCTCATGTTAAGCTCCTTTTGAGTGAAAATATACTTGAGACTCTTGTGATTGGTGAAAATTTCACAAGTCTCGCCGTATAGATAATGCCTCCAGATCTTGAGTGCAAATATCACAACTGCCAACTCCAGATCATGGGTAGGGTAATTTTCTTTATAAGGCTTCAACTGCCGTGAAGCATATGCAATAACCTTATCTTTCTGCATCAAGACACATCACAAACCCTTTTTAGAGGCATCACTATACATAGTGAATCCTTCCCCATTGATGAGAAGTGCGAGTACAGGAGCAGTGACCAGTTTCTCTTTAAGGGTCAAAAAGCTCTTCTCACACTCTAGAGTCCACTCAAATTTGGTGTCCTTCCTGATCAGACGGGTCATTGGCAGAGCAATTCTAAAGAAATCCTTCACAAATCGGCGGTAATAACCAACCAATCCCAGAAAACTACGGATTTTCACAACACTATTCGGCCTTTTCCAATCCACCACGGCCTTAATCTTTTGTGGGTCAACGGAGATTCCATCCTTAGTCATAACGTGACCTAAGAATGCAACATTATCTAGCCAAAATTCACACCTTAAATTTAGCAAAGAGCCTCTCACTTTTCAATATCTCGAGAACTGTCCTTAAGTGCTTTTCATGAAGAGCATGGCTAGAAGAGTAAATCAAAATGTCATCAATAAAGACAACCACAAACTTATCTAGGTACTTGCTAAATACTCGATTCATCAAATCCATAAATCTTGTAGGGGCATTTGTTAAGCCAAAAGGCATAACCAGGAATTCATTGTGATCATAACGGGTACAGAAGGCAGTTTTTGGCACATCATCAGGTTTAATCTTCAACTGATGGTAGTCAGATCGGAGATCAATCTTAGAAAACACTTGGGCACCCTTAAGGTGATCAAACAAGTCATCAATTCTAGGAAGTGGATATCAGTTCTTCACAGTCACCTTATTCAGTTCTCGGTAATCTATGCACAGTCTCATGCTCCCATCTTTCTTTTTAACAAACAACACTAGAGCTCCCCAAGGTGACACACTAGGTCATATAAACCCTTTCTCAAGGAGTTCCTCCAACTGGACCTTTAACTCCTTCAATTCCGTAGGAGCCATACGGTACTAGGCTTTGGAAATAGTTCCGGTGCCTAGAACAAGATCAATAGCAAATTCAATCTCCCTATATGGAGGTAAACTTGGGAAAACCTCTGGAAATACATCCGGCAACTCACACGCCACAAGGATGTCTTCTAGTCTCAACATCACACTACTAGCATCAGTGACAAAAACTAAGGAACCTTAGCAACCATTTATGAGATATTTCTGAGCCTGCAAGGCCGATATCAGCATGGGTGGAGCAAAGGAACCACTGCCTTGGAAACTAAATTCTGATTCCCTGGGAATATTAAAAATTACCCATTTACGATTGTAGTCTACAAAGGCAAAATATTTTGACAGCCAATTCATCCCCTAAATGATGTCAAAATCAGAGATATCTAAAACAAACAGGCTAGCACTCAATTGTCTACCATCAATATAAATATCTACAGTCCTACACACATCTCCAGTAGTCATCACCCTTCCTAAAGGGGTGTTCACATGTAGTTCAAAATCGGAGGTATCAATAGGTAAGGCTCGTTTCAAAGCATAAGATTGAGCTATAAAGGAGTGTGATGCACTTGAATCAAATAAAACATGTGCATAATCAGAATTGACAAGTAAAGTACCCGTAATTACGTCGGTAGCCACGGCTTCCTTGTGAATCATCGCGTGTACTCTCACCTGTTGGGCTCTTGTCCGAAACCCGGTATTCTGTTTTTGTGCCCCCTGATTAGTAGACCCTGCTGAGATGTAGATTGAGTACTCTAAGCTCTGGGGTACTACTGTGGGCAATTAGCTATCCGATGCCCTTGCTTGCCACATCTGAATTAAGCCCCAGTAGTAATGTGACATTGGTTGCGGGTATGCCTAACTCTTCCACAAACGTGGCAAGTAGGTGGAGCAGGATGAGTACGCTGGGCTGCTGATGCTTGACCCGCAGTCTTGGCAACCCTTAACTGTTTAGAACCCTTACCAGTATCAGACTTAGGCGGTGTAGAGATAAAGGGTCTATGGCTCCCATCAAATTTTCTCTTCCCAAGGGACGACCCAACTTTTTTCCAATTTGGTGTCTTGACTCTAGCCATAGCCTTCTCCTAATCTATGGCCCTGTCTGCCACCTCTCTATAAGTGGCGGGTTTGAATTGATTCACCGCAAGATAGATGCCAAGATTCAAGCCCCATAAAAATCTATCAATTTTGGCTTACTCATCCCCTACTTAACTACCCACAGAGGGTAGATAGCGGTCAAACTCCTTGTATTGTTCAACAGTACGTAAACCTTGTTTAAGATCTGCAAATTCCCTTTGCAGTTCACGCCTTTCACTATCAGGTTCTCGCATGAACACCTTTTTAAAACCATCCCAAGTGCTCAATTCAGGCTCTTCTTGGTGTAGCTTCAAGTAACTCTCCCACCAAGTCAATGCTTCACCCGTAAGCATATAACTGCCTACATCGACCTTAAGGTTATCAGAAATTTTCAGTAGGCGGAATCCCTTCTCCACCTCAGTAATCCATGACCCCACTTGCTCAAAACCCACGGTACCATCAAATTTCTTGGTCACCACCTTCTGGAATTCTATATAGACCTTCCAACTAGGCACAGCAAAAGCTGAAGATATAAAAGCAGGAGAAATAGTAGTAGGGGTCGTAGTAGTGGAAACCACTAAGGGTGGAGGTGGCACACTAGCAGTAGAAGATGCTTGGCGTCTCATCTTCGCCATAAATTCCTAAACAAAAGTGGCCACTTGAGGGTTACTCATCCCTCCCTCCTGAGGAGCAACTTGGGGTAGATGGGCTAGCAGTTGAGACTAGAGGAGTGCCCTGATCCTTATGGCTACCCCTCGAGCGCCCACGCTGTTTTGGAGCCATCTATAACCACATAAAAGGTTCATAGACTATTAATCAAGTGCCCCAAATTAGAGTTTCCCGACAAGTTTCCACTTCTGGGATGAAAACCTCATAATTAAAATCCAACACACATTAAAGAAAGAATCAAACAAGTGCCCTTAATCAACCCCACTCTCATGCCTCACCACGTTCCTATAATCCATTGGCTAGCCAAGTTCTAAACAAATCCTAGGTATTTAATTTAAACCTAGGCACTGATACCACAAAATCTGTCACGCCCCAAAACCAAGAATGAAACAGACGCTGTGCACAAATGCACAAGGCTTGGAACTTACTGTGTTCATAATTACCACTTCACATAACTTAAATAAAAAAACTCGGTTAATAACTAGCTTTCAATTACCAAAAATTTGCTAGTCTAGATGTACAAAAGTTTATAAAACAGTCATGGCTATAACCAAAGAATCTCAGTATACAAAAAAAAAATGATTTATCAGTTCACATCTATGTCAAACATGTGTGGCTAATGGCCTAAGTCCAAAATATTGACTAGCCGTCTAGCTCGTCACTCCCCCTGGTTAACCGTCCCTCAGGTGTCACTTTCTGAAATGGTGGACAAGGAAAACTATGAGATAAAATATCTTAGTAAGTAAAAATATGGGTAGATCGCGAGTAAAATTTAAGCATGCTTAATAAGCAGTTTAACATAACAAAACGTTCAATGATAAATAGTTAATGCAAAATAAGCTTTAGTAGTAGTCTCATCTATAAGTCATGGCTAATGTTTAACTCCCACTGGGAAGCGTCAGTAATAACCAATGTATTATCCCATTGGCAGGATTTCAGTAATAACCAATATATTATGCCATTGGCAGGATTTCAGTAATAACCAATGTATTATCCCATTGGTAGGATTTCAATAATGAACCAGTCCTATCGATAAATATGTCGACATGTGCTAGTGTTTATAAACCTCCCACTAGCGGGCATAGTAAAACATGACCATATTGGAGACAAAACCATGTAGGATTTACACGAAAAATCCGTAATTCACAATCAATCTCAAATTTCAGAATAAACTGAAAAAATTCTATGTGGGCATGGATTAACAGGAAAATCATAATTTACAAAAATTTTCAAATCATCAAGGCAATTCAGTAAACTCCAAGTAGGCATGCTCTTATTCAATGAAAATGAAAATAATCCCATTTCAAATCAATCATGCTCAATGCTAATAAAATCAATTTAAACCTTGCCACCATCTCAAAAACAATTTAAAATATGCTTTTACTTTGAAATCAAAAGGCGCTAGTATAATTTACTTGCTTCAGTCACATAACATAGGAAATTCACTCTAAGTGCTAGGTGATAGAACAATCAAGAACCTAACCAAAGTATTCCAGAATTAATAATCATATGACCAGACATCTCAATTTCATTCTTAGTATAAACTACACATTTAAACCCTCCTATTGTTGGCCATTAGTGCGTGAACAGAAATCCGTGAACAGCACCTGTGAACAGTAATTACGTAGTGAACAGTAACATCAACTTCTAGAAATTGGCAAAAAAAAAGCTAATTTCACGGGATTTTTCTCCAAAACCTTACAGCAGCTAATTAACACTCAATCACATAAATTCTACTTGAATTAATGCTTAAATTTTGTTCTAATTCTATTGGAATTCATCCCCCTAATTCAACAAAAATCCGGACAGCATAGGGTCGGCAATTCATGGATAATTTCAGCAACTAATGGGTAATTTAGACTTAAATGGAGCTATGACATTCCAGAATTTAGCTAGCAAAATCAGAGCTGTTGATTGGGGGAGGCCGGCAGGAATGAAGGAAAATTTCAAGGGATCTACCAAAAATTGGAGAAACCAAAAGAAATTAAAGTAAACCCAAGCCAATTCAAGAAAGAAAAGAGGAATTAATGGCTGTTTCCCCTTACCAGAAACCGGAAAAATCACACCCACACAATGAAGAGTAGTAGATGGAAGGAACAGAGCAATGCACATCCAGAAATTTCTGCAGAGGGGAAAGATTTCAAGGCTCCAAATCTTGTTCTTGAACAAGAAAAGAAGGGAAAAACACAAGCTTTTTACCGTTTCTCAAAGGGTGGGTGTGTCAGTGGCGGGGGCTCTTGTTCGGTGTAGGGGAGAAGAAGAAGAGCAAAACACGCGGGTTGAAGAAGAAAGAAGGAAAAAAAATCTGCCATCCTTATTCTAATTTTTTTCCTCTTTTAAGTCTCAAAATTTCAAAATTTTGTGATTAGGCTCAACAATATTATTTTCTCACAGTTAGGTCCCTAGCTTACACTTAATTGTTCTAGAAATTTTTGGGGTATTACAAGCATTACATTGAACTTCCAAATTTGCCCCCAAATAGGGGTGATGGACAAATTTGTCTTTAAGAAAAAGTAGGGATAAATTATCTCTCTAAATTGTTGATTAAGATAAATTATTTATTATTTAACAAGTAACGTTATCTCTGGTTAGAAATCTATTTGTCACCTAAACCTACTTCTAACGAAAAGTTAACATGTGATAACGTCATATGATAAATAATATGTAATTTTTATCTTGATCGATGATTTAAAGAACAATTTGTTTCTGTTTTTTTGAAATTGTGGATGTATCTCTATGTCACGCCCCAGAACCCGAATCCGGGGACGTGGCAGACGCTATGCATTTGTTAGAGGGTCCCACAAATGCATAAGGCTCGGAACTTATCATATCATAATCTGATACCATTAAAATCTAAAGATCAAATCTCTTGTAACTAACAATCCATTTAATAAATTTATAAAATCTCCAATTAAAATCCAGTTTACAAGATCATGATCTATATCTAAAATCTATATCAATCTCAAAATGGTTAGCCTTCTAACTCGTCACTGCCCGTGGTTTCCCCGTCCTTGGTTTTGCTCCTGAAATGGTGGATAAGGAAAAACTATGAGATAAACTTAGTAAGTAAACATGGATAGCCCTTAATTAAACTTATAGCATGCCAACAAGTATAATCACGAAAAACGGATACAGTACAGGAATGAAATAGACGTCTCCTCTATAGGTCACGGCCATTGTTATAAACCTCCCACTGGCAGGCACACTATTTGCTGGTGTATAATCCCCACTAGCAGGGTCACTGAAATACCAGTGTTTAACAACTCTCACTGGCAGGAGGAACCAGCTCTACAGAAATACATGTCGACATGTGCTAGCATTTATAAACTCCCCCACTAGCAGGGTCACTAATAACATGACCACATTGGAGACAAAATAGGTAGAAGTTAACAGAAAAGTCATAATTCACCAATCACTTCCAAATCATCAGGACTATCAATTGAATTTCAAGTAGGCATGCTCAATTTAATGAAAAGTATAAAAATTTCACTTCAAATCAATTATAATTGTGTAAAACGAGTTTAGTCCCACCACCACTTCAAAAACAAATCAAAACATGCTTTTAAAAACTGTATGGGTATTACCATAAATTTACTTACCTCACTCGCATAAAACCGAAGACTCGATCCCAGTGCTAAACTGACAGAACGATCAGGAACCTAATCAAAATATCCAAGAATTAATTATCGTACCACGGATTCAAAAGTAAAATCACCATAACTACCCCTTAATCACGATGCTATTCCTATCAATCTCCCATGATCAAATATCTCCAAATTTATTCTTATATTACAACTAATCATTTAATCCCCGTTAATTGTTGGTCATCAGTGTGAACAGTATTTATAAACAGTAACTTCACTTCCAAAATTGGCCAAAACACTAGCTAATTCACGGGATTTTCTCTCCAAAAATCACAACAGCCAACTCAAGCAATTTACACTTAAATTAAACAAAAACCCACTTAAAGCTACCGAAATTCCCCCATTTCTCCAGCAGATTTTCGGACAACAATAGGGCAGAAAATAAATGGACAAAATTCAGCAATTGAAGGGGTAAATTGGGACTTAGAGAAGCTGCCACATACCACAATTTCCAGCAAAAACCGGAGCTGCAGTTGGGGGAAGGCCGGCGGCAAGTGCAGGGGGACTCACAGGGCTGCCAAAAATTGAAGGAACCAAGAGCAATTAAGGTAAACCCAAGGCAATTAAAGCTGGAGAGGGGAGATTCATGGCTGTTTCTTACCAGAAAATCAAAGCAATTCGCCCCCACAAAGCAGGAGCAGCCGGCGGTAAGGAGCAGAGCAAGGCAGATCCGGAAGCTTTCCTGCAGGGGGGAAGATTTCAAGGCTCCAATCTTGTTCTTGAGCAAGAAAAGAAGGATAAAATCAAGCTCTCTACCGGTTTCCTCAAGGCATGGCTGGGTTCCCTTTTTTTTTTTCTTTCAGGTGGCTGTAACGAGGAAGAGATGAGTAGAATCGGGCTGAAGAAGAAAGAGGAAAAGGAGAAAAAGAAATAACTGATCCTTATCCAAATTTTCCCTCTTTAAGTCCCTCAAGTTATGAAATTTTGGCTATTAAGACCAAAACAATATTTCTCCACAAGTTAATCCTTAACTCACTTATTTATTTTAGAAAATTTTGGGGTATTACACTCTATCTTCCTATTTGAGAGTGAATCAGTCTCTACCTCCTATTTGGGAGTTTGCCATAGCATTTAAGCCTATCAACCTAGGAGAAAAGGGAGGTTAATTAACTAATTTCTCCACAAAATTGTGCACAAATTAAGATAATGAATGCTGCAAAAACACTTAAGCCTCTTGCTATCAACAGTTTCTGTCTCTCTCTCTCTCTTTCTCTCTTAATGACTTTTTCTTCTTTATAAAAAAAAAATGTATAAATTTGGTTGGGAGGTTTCACATCACACAACTTATATTAAGCCATGAACCATTGCCCTCCAAGGTCTGCTTCTTTTCCATCTACAGTTTAGTTTCTCAATGCACAGATGAAATTCACTTGGTAGGTGAGCGCCCACATTAGTTTCTCTGTTTTACATATTTTAATTTTTGGCAATTACATCTTTCCGTTATTACAACAGGTCTTGTAAGAAAAAAATGATGGGAAATTAATTGTTGGATCGAGGAGGAGATGATGTACTGCTAGTAGCAGCAGCTCTTCAACTGCAGCATGAACGAATAAATTCCGAGAAAGATTAATTTGTCATTTCTCTTCAACATCTTTGATACAATTTTTGAGAGTATCAGAGAGTAGAAGAAGATAGGTTTTATTATTATTATTATTTTAAAAAAAAAAAGTTAACAGTTTAACATATTAAATAAGAAAAGCTTGTTTGCCAGCACATGGGACCTTTCGACATTTTCTATCACTTTCAATTTTATCACATTCCTCTTTTCATTTTGGAATCGTGTCTTCTCAAAAACAGGCCCTATACCTTCTCGAAGTGTGGATGAATTTAGCCCTCAATCAAATTTATTTTATAATGCACCAATAGCATCCTCAAAACTGGAAATAAAATAGCTCACCGACAAATTATGTTAATTTGATTACATTACATGGATAAAGAGGCTAAAACCCTGGAAAGTCCACATTCTTTTTTTTCTTTTTTTTTTTTTCTGTTTAGCATCTCAATGGAGGCCATCTACTCTCGCTATAATATGAAAAATTCAAAATTCATTAAAGATTAACTCCATTCATTCCTTAAATTCATAAAAAATAAGCTCTATTAAGTCCTTGCTGACATCACTGAGAAATAGTAGGTTAACTATTTACTCGATAAATTTGAGATTTTTTTTTCCCACTTAGAGCTTGTTTAGCAGGCAATTTTATTGGAAAGATATTGTACAAAAGTTAGAACAAATTGATTAGAATATTTGAAAATTTTACAATAAAGATTTGTTGAGATTCTTAAATTTTTTAATGTTTGATAAGAAGTTGATATTGAAAAACATTTTTCTTTTAAAAATGTAAGCAGGGAATGATATTGTTTTTTTTTTTTTTTATATTAATTTCTCGGTATCCGATAATCACATTTAAAATATTGATTAATTCAAAATCAAGTCATGCCAGACCTATTAAGGGGGAATGATATTGTTTATCTTAAATTATATAATGAAAATACAGGCTAAAATTCAAACCCTATCCTTTATCTATTATGGTATTGAGAGTGAATACTAAAATACATATGAACTTTGCAGGGTAAGAGTGGAAAAAGCTTCCTAGAGTGGCCAGCGGTTATCATTACCTATATTTTTGTTAAAATCATATAATTTTGTTGATATTTTATTAATTTATAGTTTTTTTAAATAGTTAATTATAATGTTTAAAAATATTAATTTATAAATTAATTTTAATTTGTAAAATAATAAATATTAATTATTTTATCAATTATTAACTATTTATTGTCACTCATATTTTTGTTAAGATTGCATAATTTTGTTGATATTTTATTAGTTTATAGCTTTTTTTTCTTGAACAGTTAATTATAATGTTTGAAAATATTTGTCTATAAATTAATTTCAATTATTAAATAATAAATATCAACTATTTTATTAATTATTAATTATTATTAACTATTAAATTAATAAAATAGTAATAAAATTATGTAATCTTAATAAAAATTTGGGCGGGCAATAACCACAACCGAACCAAACACCCTCTTACCGCATTCTTTCATGTTTAGGTTGACATGAAATTCGGTCTTATCAAGTGAGCGATCAACAAATGAACTTGCAGAAAAGGTAAAGCCCAACCCAAGAATTAAATTTACTTATTTATAAGTGTGATCTTCTAAATTAGTTAAGTTTAAGATTTAAGTTTTAATATTAGCATTAAAATAAATTAATTTTTTTTGAATGTATGCTAATGTTACGGTGTGTTTGATATCAACTGCGGTTGATTAGTCTCAGGGTTGTAAATTAAAAAAAAAAACCTAAAATAAAATAAAAAAAGGGCAAAACCCACTGTTAAGCTGTCATGCCCCAAAACCCAATTTCGAGACGGGACAGACGCCATACACTCGTGAGACGAGTCCCATAAATGCACAAGGCTCGGAACTTATCATATCACACTCTGATACCACCAAAATCTAAAGATCAAATTATAAAATTCTCTCTGATATCATAAAATCTCCAAATACAAGATCATAATTTATTTTGAAAATCTTTATCCAATTACAATATGGCTAGCCTTCTAACTCGTCACTTCCCGTGGTTTCCCCGTCCTCGGTTTCACTTCCTGAAATGGTGGACAAGGAAAAACTATGAGATAAACTCAGTAAGTAAATATGGAGTGCCCCTTATTTAAA